AATGTGGAACCACCGGTATATTTATCAAATGGAGAATCTTATCAGAGTTGTAGTGTATTCAAGCTATAGGAGATATGTTAAATAGAACGTGCCTTACACTACATACCGAGCTTACAGAGTAAGACGTGGAAATGAGTGACGTCATCGACTAACATACATACATACATATATACATGCATACATGCATACATACATACATACACAAATATTTATTATACACTGTATGGCTGTATATCACAGTTACATAGCGAGATTATTAGAAATTAGATCACAAAGACGCATAATTATATGGAAGGAATTAATTGTCTTATTATGAATCAAGCAATAAAACTATTATGTTAAGAATACACCTAGCGTTCAGTTTATATCATTTAAGAATGTTACAATAACCTTAACTACATAAAATTTATGTTTGTATGAAAAAATACATGTTCAATATGCTTGGTTATACCATAAAATTGATGATAAACTGAAGTAAAGAGGTAGTATGAATAGTAATTTTTAATTTTATCATTGAGCTCTCATATACCTTTGAGATTTTCTCGCATCTTGACTGTAGTAACATCAATTATAATCATAATGAAGAAGCTGACTCCCATCACCAACTTGATAACAACATACACACACATTAACACGATATACTGAAACATAGTTGAAATGAACATTCAGTCTTATATCCTTATGATAGAGTTTATTTTTAACTGCTATAATAATAATCTTATATCTTTAATCAGCTGTTCTTGTATACCTATATAATATACATTTGGAAAACCTCTCCAACAATTTTTATGATTGTTCATTCAAGGCGTTTTGGTGGTTATTCATCGATTTACCTAGATCGGTGAAAAGTCTGCTTGAAGGAAAACTAATTGCTTAAAATTGTTTTATCGCGTAACAAAGATAAAGTTACTAATCAAAGGATAGAGTTGTGAATAAGCCTAATCATATAATATTTCGCAGCACGACTAACAAAACAAAAATCGAGCGAAACTCGTTTTCCAGATATTAATAGTATATATGAACAAAGATTTCCAAATTATTATTTTTTATTATAAAAATATTTTTCCTAATTTTTTTAAATAGAAATTGTAACAACGGGTCAGTATCTTTAAAAAAACGTTGACATCTAAAATTCCGTATGAAACATTAAATGTAAAACTTATATTTTTCTCAACATACATATTTTGATCAAAATCCGTACAGTTTCATTGTTACTATTTTTTTATTGATGTGTATTTTCTCTTCCTTCAACATATCAACAGCTTTTGTTCTAGATTTACATCAAAGTACGTAAAGAAAAATATTTTATAAAATAGTTAAATATATATAAATCATATACTTGATTATAGTTTGAAGCTTTTATACCATATAAATAACAATATAAAATGTTATTAAAATTTACTATAAAGTCTTGTTTTAGAATATACGTCTCTTAATTTTATCTATTATTATTTTTAACACAAAGTGTGTTTATGTGTGTTTGTGTTTTTGTTCCCAATATTTATATTCTCAGGAGTTCTTAAATTCAATACACATACTGGTATAATGCACAATAAAGTCTTAGTTCGTATTCCGTGTCCTCGATCGAGTTGTAGGTATATGAAATGATATTTTACTTTCTGTATTATTGTTGGCAAACCTTTTAACATGTTAACACAGAACACAAAAATAACTAGTGTCGGTCGCCCGTCGTTTGTATTCAATTAAAAGTCACATTAAAATATCAATGTGTTATCAAAATATAATCACAATTATAAAAATACATATATATTGTAGGAATATTTAAACGTTTACAATTTCTAATATTTTATAAATATTCAAGGATAGTTTTAAATTTTAATATAAAAAAATTATAGTTCCGGATATTACATTATAAATAAGTATTAAATTATTTGCGTCAGTAACAAATAATATGTACTCGTATACACACAAACATATTTTTATGGATCACGTTCAATGAGGTTTATATAAAAAGAAGTGCTTCAATATGGTTTAAGGAGTTCTGTGACCCAGATGTAACACACACATGGTTCCGACGAATGTTTCCCGGTCGTAAATGAATCTGGTCAGTGTGACTGTTCGTATGGACAGTGGGTCACGACTTACGTGAGCCGGTCATAAACATACACCTTACTATAGAGATAGTTGGATCATTTGTTTGTTTATCGAATCGTAAAATCACGTCGATAATCCATAGTTCAAAGATCAGTAGATCTTTAATCTCCTTCGTCTGTACTCTTTACGTTAATCATGATAACAACAGCTCCTCTCATTACCATCTCATGATACATACGAGATGGTTCTTTGAATTATTCGGGTTCTTTCCATGACCTAATTATTACGTGCTTTGTGAAATGTACTTCCTAACTGTATGTACAAGAGTTTGTTTAGATAATACAAGTAGAAGGAAACTTTTCTCAAACCATCCAACGGATCTGCCAATAATGTTTGGAGACAGAACAGGTTTCAACAACCTGTTGATTCAACAACACCTGTATTGTATTACATGAATAGGTTTCCATCTTCTTGGCAGCCAATGTATTTATTGCTATTTCAACTTTTGACCGCCTCACGTGGAGAGTTATTTTGATAGGAACGAAATTATCATATTAAATTATTTCTCCATCAACAAATAAAATAAATAGAAAAACCATTATTTAAGTTAATAAAATATTATTAATGAACTTCATAAAACTTGATATTTTAATTTATAGTACGGGATCATAATACACAACATGAGGCATGTAATAATTCTTCCAAAATGTAAGAAAATATAATATTCATAAACATAAAAAAAACTGGGATTATTCTGTTAGTGTGTGATGTAGTCGTGCAATGAAACACAATCCACAATCGATACACAGAGCAGATGCCAAACTTCTCTATCGACATAAAAATAATTGTATTACTTTCTTGATGGCAGTTATTTATCCCCGAACTTTCAGAATTAGATGAAAACGAAATAACAGAAATGGCAATGACTGATATAAATTAAACTACATAATTATAACATATTACTGGAGAGTTAAACATAAGTAGTATTATATTTATTTAATTATTTATTGCATAATAAGTGCATTGTTTGTATAACTTGAACCATTTTTATTCAACAAGTTAAGTGTTAACTGTGATCCCGTTCAAACACGTTATCTGAGTATCATCAGACCTCACTCAACAACTCTTGGGGCAATCCAGATCACTTACACTTTGAATATCAATTTTTTCTATTACTACACTTTTCTATATAAAAAAAAATATACCGTCGCTAGAAAGTTGTTTTATATAATTAATATATGTACATATATTGTTTTATGACTACTATTCATTAAATAAATCATGAAAAATAGTTTTGTTAATAACATTAAGATTTATCTTATGGATTCATATTTCATTCAATTAAATAAAGCTTCACTATCGTTTCACCTGATGGTTGTTGGAAATTAAGTCTTAGATGATTAACTCATTATCTCAGTAATAAGTATTAACTCTTGATCGAAAATATTCATATTGGAAGTTAAGCATAGTGCCAGAAAACTGTGCCAATCTTTTGTTGTGTCCATAAAGAAGGAAGTGTGTCGTTTCATATACAACAAAACGATGGGGGTCTTGTTTACGTCTTGTTGTTGGATGGTAAAAAAAATATCCAGAAATTTAATTCCATGTCATATCCTGTGCATAATCTAAAGTGGTCCATATCCAATCATGGTCATCAGTAAACCTTTTGTTTTATAAGAAAGTTGGCAGAATGATCGAAGATCTACTTGATGGGCAGTAGTCACCGTTTCCCATAAAGAAATGCAACATGTCTTATGTTGTGGATGTGTTGCCAACCTGGGTTATTGAGGAAGACGGAAGGGTGGAAATAAGGAAATGGCAGGAAAGGGTGGGAACAGGGAAAGGCCAACCACCTCTCTCACTCATAAGACTATTTAAACCATCAAAGACTACTTCAAACCGATCTTCTGTGAGAGGTCGGTACTAACCACAGCTAGGCTCTACCACCTTTTTCCTCGTCTCTCAAAGGAGTCCGAAACTATGAGACAAGTGAGACCTCAATAAACAGAACCTCACTTCATATGACAGCAGTATTTTTCAAACTACAGAACAAAGACTGTAACGACTGCTTTGTAACAAAGAAGCTGTATTAGTCTAAAGCACTGAAGTACATATTGCAAAGACGTCGCAACATTTGGACACAGATTTTTTTAATGGAAGTACGGCTTATCAATCTGAAACCGTTATGATGAATTACATTTTTTTTGCTTATTTTGAACTGTGATAAATCAAAGGTTGTCTTAGACTCCGCCTAAACTCCATGACCAATCACCCGACACAGCGAAAATTTTGGAGTATTGTAATGAGCCCTTATTAGAAGGCAACTTTTCCAACCTGTCCTTCAAGTTGTTTCATCAACGTCCAACAACAACGTCCACAAAGCAGACAATCGCTTGACGTCATGGCTCTGGCTAATTTAAAGTCTTATACGTAGTGACCGAGGACTTTATTAATTAATTCACTCATAATATTTACATTTAATCTATCATAAATATATTTTAGTCACTCATGTTTAGTGTCCATATTTGATTACGCTGCGTAGTTTTCTGGTAGGTTCAGGTGGGATCACGTAAATAAATTGCACCTCACTTTACACTATATATACATACGTATATTTTATATACTTTTTCGTCTCGAGATTCCATCATGGAATTCGATTACTATGAAATCGTCCTCTTATATTCGAACGTGTCTCTAGAGGTTTAGAATATTCCCAATAAAATGAAAGCGACACCAAGTTTCTTTGTAATAAATAATAAATAGGATAAGCCTTAGAATAACACGAACCGAACGATAGAAGACTTGATTTAGAAATATCCTTATGTAATATTAAATATAACCGTCTCGATTCTCTCACGGATTTAACTTAATAACAATAAAGAGTAGTATCAGTAGTAATGTTCCGTGGTCATGTTGGTCCATATCCAAATCAAGTCTTGTATGAGGGGGCGGCTCGGGCACGGGTCTCCCGCTGCGCCGCTCACAGCTCACCCGTGCCCGTGCTTGCAGGATGCACGCGGTCGGTCTCCACTCGGCGCTGGCCATCCGCCGCGAGCGCAAGCGGCGCGCGGAACAGCAGCGCGCCCGCGAGCGACGCTACTCGCTACAGTCCTCAGAGTCCGGAGTCACCTCTCCCCACTGCTCGACCGGGAGCCTCGAGCGACGCCGCCATCGGAAGACGGGGACCACCGACAATGAGGTCGTCTCCTCGGTGGGCATGCTCCATCTCGGGGTCGTTTTTCTCGTCCTCGGCGTCTTCCTCGTCGCTTCCGGCTGGCTGCCCGATGACGTCACGTCCTGGAGCAGCATCGGCTCCGTCAGCTGGTTCAACGAACTCGTCTGCTCGGGACTGTTCGCTCTCTTCATCGGGATCTTCCTCATAGCTTTGCACAAATACCTGACCAAGTCAGAGGAGGACGCGCTGGAGGATTACGTCCAGCGACAGTTGACCAGGTCCAGGTCAGGGCACAGACTGGAGAGAGACGCAGAGACCGGCGGCATGAGGACCAAGGGAACACGGCGAGTACGAGCTACGGAGGTTCTACCGGAGACGATCACTGAAACATACACTGAGCCCTCGCCGGATAGAGCTCATGGGTTCGTGAACGCTCTGGCCATCAACGGAGACGCGATGAGGGAGACTCCTCTAGAACAGATCGTGGAGGAGGAGATGTCCGTCGCTTCGGAGAGCGAGAGGCGGCTGGGCAAGTTCAACAAGGACACGTACTCCACACCGTCGGTGGCGCCCAGCCTCAGCCCCGGCTCTCCGTCTGATACTCGCGAGCTGCTCTCTGACGGACGGTACATGATCATGTCCAGGATGTGAACGTCTTAGTTTGACAGTTCACTGATTCCGTACATCTTGCTTCTTTATGGACTCGTTTTTGACTTTATTGGTAAACATGTTATATCACGATGATTTTCAAAATACACTCAACAATACCTCTTATAATGATAATTAGTCTCTTTTTTAAATGATAGCCATCAAAAAAATATTACAAGTAGTTTTCGAATAAAGAGGATTGAACTCAACTTTGAAGGTTGGGCGCGTTCTCCATCGAGAATTAGGATATTCGGTATCAGCGAAATGTCAACTGATAAGAACGGCCGTACGTTGAAGGCTTTCTATACATGGACGTTATATAGTTCGTGCTACCAAATAAATTATTAACTGTTGCTACCGAAACTAACACCGAAGAGCTTACGGCTTCGTAAGTTAAATGTTTGTTAAATGCTTCTCACTCACAATTACAGATGGACCAAGTCACGATAGTGTTTAGAAGTAAGTTGTATTTCGCCTTCTATGATTGCAGTCTCCACCTCAATAATGACAGAACCTTGAGCCAGGTTGTAAACTGTTTTTCTGGTTCTTTTGTAAAAGCCTTTTACGTTGATATAAAACACTGATTGCAGTTGTAAAGGCCAGCCTTTTATTAATCGTATTCATGTGTTGGAGACTGATTATTATTCTATCTTATTATCTTCACTCGTTTCTGGTGCTGGTGATGTTATAAACGCACGCTTTATGTCGTATTTGTTTGTTCTGTACCAATATCGAAGCAGCTGTGCCAAAAGTAATATAACAGTAGAATTCGTTCTCGAGTCTCGCGTTCGTGAGATCGGCTTCTACTGTATCAAGTCATAAAACTGATCTCATATATTTTAGTTAATCGGATACTTTTTGCTTTTGGCTGTGAAAATTTTCGTTACTATAATTAAGTACAAAATATATAAAACATTGTAATTGATATTATATAAATGATCGCTTTCAATCTTTTGATTATTAAAGATTTTATTAGATGTCTAATTTGATGTATACTGTTTAATATAATGATATTACACGTATGTTTGTATCAGCTCTTAGTTGTCTAAGTATTTTCTGTGACCACTTTTATATTGTATGTTATATGACGGGTCAGACTGGTTGATTGTTTTCATATTACTTTACCTTTCGATTTATTTTTTAACTCTGTTATTGTACTATATGTCTTAATATTTCGCGGTAATGTATGTGTATAGATCAAGGTGATTAATATAATTAATCTCGATCTAAGCTACATGTTACCGTTTCTTATACTTCTGATCTGTATATGTTCGTTAAGTTTTTACTACGCTATTATTAAATGCACAAATGTCGATATTTAACTATACTATAATATAAGCTGTGAGATGTTAGACAATAAGGTCCGTGCACACTGTATGTAATGAAGGTGTTTTGTTTATATTGTCTAACATCTCGGTGGGTGTACATTACTCTTAACTATTGTCGCCTCCGTGTTTAGTATTTGCTAGCTTGTATATATGAAGAGTGTAAGTGAGGGTGACTCACCTGGTGTTAAAAAACAGTCTTAATAACAATATATCTCAAACTAAATGATACATTTCAGTTAGCAATACCATAACAATAGTTATCCAGTAGTTATGAGAGAAAGAGACGAAAAATCATATCATATGCGGGAGTTATAGTTTACAGAAAAGTCCATATAATGTGTTACAATATAACTATCCTTCTCTCTATATAAAGATCCGTCTAAATAACTACTACCTATATTATATATATGTTATAATTTCTATCGTCACGTCTATACGTGGCGATGAACCTGATGGTGATGATGATGAAGATGGTGATGATGAGTTAGGTCTCATAGTTAATGAAATATTTTTCTCTCCTATATTAAGCAGCACCCACGAGGTAGCGTGGTTATAGTATGCACATATTAAACATCAAACTTCTCGTGCCTATACTTTTATATTTAGGTATTTTTGATAGCGTATTTAAGATTTCTAATTCGTATTTGCTGTGTCACGTGTAAATAAATATATCACGCGTTCAGAACTATTCATATTTAATATTATATAATATACATTCATATAATAATTGAGCTGTTTGTACTTTTGAAAACGTTATGCTCTGACAGACTCACTGACTAAATAAAGCGTAAAATATATTATACGACGCTTCTTTGGAGTGACTTGTATTGTCACGATGCTGCTAGAAGGTAGGAGAAGGAAAGGTGAACTTGTCAAAAGTACAGATAACTTTAATATCACTATTTGAAACAAAGCAATATTATAATAAGCAGTGCTTCGCTACATCTCACTCGTACTAGAATAATGATCGCACATTAAGACGCGTCACACTGGCCGCCTCACGAGTCACGAGCCCACCTCGTCTGTGAAGCCTAGCTAGCTTCATACTATATATTAAAATAGCTTGAAGGCTTGCCGGGAGCCGCTCACCGCGTCCCGTGTGGACGAGCCTTTATATCAGAGCACAAGACGTATTTTATACACAATATATTCTACTAGGTTCTCTTTGTTTTTCCATAATTTTCCAGTTTTGGTGTCGTGTGAAGCTCAAACGTGTTAGTTGTGAATTTTTTACGCTATTTCGATGTCGTGAAGAATTTTTATAAACGCTTTTGCGCCTTTTTAATCGATTCTATATGCGTGTCCGCGCAACTATATGTATAAGACGAGCCGGTAGTGACGTGACGTCTGTGGGTGGCGATGAAGCTCCAATAATATATTATATGAAAAATGTCTAGAAAGTACAGAACTAAATTAAATAATATTACAAATACATGATCTCTTAGAACTGTTTAATATACAAATAATTTTAAAAGATTTTTTTGCAATGTATAATATATAACTTTGATCATTTCTGATATATGTGTGTTATTACATTGAGACGTTCATATTAAATAAAATAAATCGATAACAACACTAGCCGCCGACGTCACATCACTATTAAATGTCCTTCAGTTTATTGACAGAGTTCAAAGAAGTGTCTGACTTTCAACGATTACATTTATATTGGTTTATGAAACATGTCGAAAATATATTATTAACATGTTAGAGAAATAGATGCGGGGTTACAGAGACCAGTATAAGACGAACTCTGATTAAAATTACATACAACAGGAACTGATGACCCCGCACTTATTGTTGTAACATGGTTATTGTTATATCTTTAACAACAGAACAACAGACATTTGTAAGAACGCAATACATTGATGGAAAATGTAAGATAAATAACTTCATTATGTTATAAGTGATACAGTTTCATTTTAATTCATATGAATCAAATTAATAACACATTTTCCTTCAAACAATTTTTTAATAACACATTCCTTAGACACGTATTTTATTTATTACACTTATTAATTAATAAATTGATAACTACTATAACTAAGTTTCATTTTAAACCTTTTAGTTAAGTTTAAAAGATTAATTCTAAATTTCATTAATTTACAATTAATGCATTGTAAGTTATTCTTAAATATCAATCTTTAATTTAATATCAATTTCTCCGAAATTGAGAAAATATTCTTCATATTTCATGCTTAAATAATTTACTTTTCTCGTACAGTCAAATAAATCACCTTCTTAAGAGTTATGTTAATGTACAAGTAGTAATTTAAATTTATAGAATTAAAATTTTATGAATAATTTAATAATAATTTTAAAATTCATGAGTAAATAGAATTTTAAATAAAAGAAAAATAAAATATTGTTGTATTTATGTAACAGCATCATAAGGTTTTCATATACACTTACACGGTCTGACCTCGTGAAAAGAAGAAGATATTAACACCCTTAATAATTAATTTGAATAACAGTTTTGAAATATAGAGTTGAAAATGCTTATTTCATCTGCTATTAACATACTGAAATACAGTTTCAAATTTCAATACTGGCCTGTATTTATATTAGTAGACACACACAAACACAAACACAAACACACACACACACACACACACACACACACACATTCAACATTCAATGTGAGCTCGTCAAAAACAAATGACATTCAACTCTTGTTCCCATTCAACACACACTACATTAAAAACTGTAACGCTGCCAGAATTCTATATGAGAGGCTACGAAGTGCTACGAACAAAGGTCTGTATGCTACGCTCCGCCGCTACGACGTAGCACCGGCGACATGCTCTACGATCGATATGTATCAACTACGTGCAGATGTACATTTGAATAATGAATGACATTCATTAATATATTTATGAATTCATTTCATTTTTTATTGACACTTTAAACATTTAACTGGGTTTGAATGTTGGAATGGATAATGATATTAAAAATCAATTACAAAAAAACCATTAATATACATATGAATATTTAATATTTTCATATAATAACATAAATTGAACTACATATTCACAAATATTAACATAATATAAAACAAGCTAATGCTTTACATTTTAGTAACGTATAAATAAAATGAAACGCTTCTTGAGATAGTCTAAAAGTTAAAACGTTGAGTAAAAGCCTCCATAAATACCGGTGACTGACCCACTTACAGACGTACGGCCTTACACGGTAATAAATATATACTGCGCTATATACGTATGTAAGGAAAATATTATTTCCCTTATAGAATAAAATTATAACGTCCGAAATAAAATATTTAATTATATAAATGAATATAAAGAATTAAAAATGGCAAAGTAATTTCAATTTGTCGACACGAAAATATACGATCATGACTTATATTTTATAATTTTTTTGTATTTAACAACATCACAATAAAGTAATTCAAAAATAATTGTTACTTATAATAAAAATATATTAATTCAAATTAATTTATTTCCAGATATGCTACAATCGTTACTACAGCCAAGAGACAATCAGAGACGTAAGTATATGATCATGACTTCATTCAATGATATCATGAATTATATTATGAATAAATTCAACTCATGACCGTACAGTCGTTATTCCCTGATAGTGTGTGGCCGAGGTGCGGTGTTATCACACTTCATTTACATAGGACTGCAGTTAACATGATACACATCAGTTAGAAGTTATAGTATAATATATAACGAAGAGCATTTAAATTATATTATTAACTTATAATGAATGCTAGTTAGTTTCATTTAACTTATCATTATTTCGAAACTGTGACACTTATGAGTTATGGGTTATGAGTTAGTGTTCTTGGACGTATCTTTATGTTGATTCTATGCCACTTATAAGTATTCGTATAGTTTTCTTGGAGTGTCAATACAATGAGTGAGAGTAAATTTGTCTTGAACTAATGTTGTCGTCATGAATGTAGACTGAACAGTGAGCAGTCTAAGAGTCTATGGGACTAGACGTAACACATGACGATTTCAGCAAAAATGATCGGTGCAATGCCAGCAGTGGCCGTGCGTCATGAGAGGAGACGGGCTGAGAAGAGGAGCAGGCGACCCTCGCAGTTACCGCTGCAGCTGGGCCGGCTGGAGGACGGGACGCCCTCGCCCGACCACAACCTGCGGGGAGACCTGTACGTGTGTGGGAAGGTAGGAACACCATGAGAGGAGATGAAATATATAACATTGATAGTATGCTTTAAAATGAGGTAGTTGGATCTTGATCACTACAGAAATGATGAATGACATACCAGTGATAGTATACGCTTAAGATAAGATAATATTCTAATGTCGTTGTATGATTGTAATATATGGGGTTTAGAATGATTATAACAGGAACATGTCTTGAGAAGATAAGTATTAACTCAAACACTAATGAAACTATTGAATTTGGGCAGTGTACCAATAAAACTCTTTAGTAAATTTCTTTTAACACTTTATTGAAAGCAAATATTCCAACACGAGTCACAAGTTATAATATTGGCATAAATTACAGTTAAAAGAAAAATATGACTTATCCACAGACTAAGTGTTTTGTGATGAGCACTAGCGCCATAGTGGCAGAAAACTTGACCTAACACCTTTCAAAACTATAATCTTACTTTTAAATGAAACTATTATTTTTCGTATTATACTACGCAACTTTATTCTTATAAAAAACTACATATTCCCGACGTTTCGGCTACTTTTTAGCAACCGAGATAAGGGACAGATGAGATGTATAATCTGAGTTTATAATTTTTTTCAACAGAAGCGACTTGTAGTTGTTGTTGTAGCAATGATCTAATAATAGTTTTGGTCCACCAGGTGGCCTTCCTCCACGGTATAGTTGGTTCCCTGTTGTTGGGGATCGTGATCCTGGTGGTAGGGCTGGTGCAGCTGTCCCCGGGAGCGGAGGCTGCTCAGCATCGATACTACCTGATGGGCGCCGGGGGACTACTGGTCACACTCGGGGTACTGGGAGCTGTGCTCAGGTCAGATATTGTGATATAACTGATGATGATAGGATAGTCGCTTAAATGATTATTATGAAGTATTTATATGGATTATTTGGAATAGTTACAAGTATTTATTAATAACTAGCTGCGCCCCGCGGTGTTACCCGCGGATTTCCGGGATGTAAAGTAGCCTATGTGTTATTCCTGGACACGCAGCTTCATGCTTACAAAATTTTATCAAAATCGATTCAGCCGTTTGATCGTGAAGAAGTAACAAACGTACACACACTCACAAACTTTCGCAATTATAATATTAGTAGGAACTAGGAAGTAAGCAGAGTGTAAGTCAGAGTTAGCATCACATATTGAACACCAATACGAGCTCAGAGCTAATTATTGAGCGGCGATTCTAATGACACTTTATTATACATAGTATGAATGTCTCAAGATATCTTCAGTTTGCACTAAGTATAACTATATGTATATGTTTGTAGATGCCTCTGCCTGCACTGGTACAACATGAAATACCGCGAGGAGTACGAGGAGCGTGTCCGCAGCCACCACAAGAACTGTGTGAGTGTGGTTGAGAGTCACCACGAGCGGCCGCGGCTGAAGCCCCAGGCCAGCGTGCACGACGTGGACCTCATCAAGCAGCCCTCAGTAGCCAGCGACACTTAGACTCACTCTTAACAACCACTCACTCGAGCGCGACCAACTTTGTAAATCTTTTATTATATACGTCATGTTTATATCTGTGCTCAAATCCCTCTATCTATAGATAACGTATTACTTCGTATAGATGTATTGAGATTCGTTTGTAGATAGCTGTTCTTATATTGTTTACATTTAAGCGATGATTTTGTCTCTTAAACATATTTTGTAGTATCTTTATAGTTAATGTCTATCTTATCCGAGGTGACACGGTCGGTACACGTTAGTCGTCATATCAGTATGTTTCGTACCGTGTCTTTTCTTGTTTCAAGGTGTTTTCTATACTATTCTGTATATAATATTTGTGTTAGTTGTAATGATGTAACCGCTCTCTGTACATATCTACATTCGGAGCCCAAGTTTAACACAAATCACTTTCGGATCTTCTTTGATAGTGTCGTATTAACTCAAATATTTAACTGACCTTTAAACTGTTCAGTCACACTTAACTAGTGTCTCGTCACATATCACGCCCTCTATATCCTTATACATACGAAGCCTTCATAATCATTTTGATAGAATAATTTCTAACGAATTTTCTAACATATAAATTATTCCACAAGTAATATTACGTTTTAATATACCAAATATTTTTGAAATTTTTACAATTTACGTATTATATTTTGGTTTAGGTTCAAGACGTGGTTCTTGTGTCATCGGTCCCTCACAGAGGTATATATTTCAATCGTTTATCATAGTATATATGTATATTTCGTTACGAGTGTCTCCAAGTGGTTCCATCAGCATCACAGCCGGAGATGAAGCTGTTAATTCTAAATCCTTACCGTCCGTTACAAACGATCACACGAAACGCTCAACTACACAACTGGAAGAATATTATTATACTTTATATATATGTATATATAGTGAAGGCACGCCTGTGACCGTGACCTCTCACCTCTCCCGCTCCCCGACCCTCGACCCTCGACCCCGTGGTTCCCATCACTACTAATTCAGGAGCTTAAGGAATGTATTTTTGTATAAATTTATTTATAAAACAAATTTTTAATTCTATATATCATTTACATGGCCGGCCGCGGGTCAGCTCACAGTCCGCGGAACCTTTACAATATTGAAACTTGAACATATTCATTACTTACTCACTACGAGTGTTACAATAAGATTACTATCTGAACTACGTCACGCCGTCTGTCTGTCTGTACGTGTCGTGTTCTCAAACACATATAATATAATAAACTTTTAATAATAATCAGATATTAAAGTAGTTGATGAAGTTGCATGTTTAGTTGAGTCGGTGGATCAGTCGATGTAATAGGTGTTGTAATATTAATATTATATAACTTCTGATGTAGACCAATATTAATATATTATAAATATTATATCTACGTTACATAATAAGGTCATCGTGACGTCATCACGCTCACTTCACTTCACTTCACTTCAGTTTGTTTCTATTTAAATATCAGTAATTGAAACGTTAATATTAAGAGACTGAGAAGTGTTCTAAAGTTAATATCAAAGTTTTCTTATATTTTCTTTTGAGCATGATTTTTAATATTATTTAACGATTCCATGTTTGTTTGTTTAATGCTTCATAAATACAGTAATATGTACATGTATTGTGTATGGGTCCAACAGTCGGTCCGTAGCGACGCGTGCTTTACATACATGTTCAAGTTAAACTGAGACCGTCACATATTATTTTGTTAACATCATCTCTCATGTTATTTACCGCGACTCTACCTGTATTATTTTGTAAATTCATATATAGTTATAATAATTTGTTCGCCGGAGCTAGCCACTAGCCAGTAGCCAGTCCATTGACCTCACCCGGCCGGTGTATTTTATTAAACGTTGCCAAATACTTTGTTTAAAGCTTGACTGATTTGTATAGTGTTAGCGTTTAACCGAATTATAATAGTGTTTAATGGTTTTAGCTTGTTCTAGCTTCGTTTGTATTGCTGTGCCAAATGTTCTCTCAACTCTCTGTTCTATACATATAGTGTAAGCCGTCTCCGCATCACGTCGTACATTCCGCGTCTCGTATGTATCGTATCCGAGTCTACTCTGGAACGTTTTTATCTCATAATGGATGTTTAGTGTTAAGAGCATGTTATCATGAATGTGTAAGCGACTAGTTATATCAGTGTACCTTTATATATGTATGTATACATATGTTTTATTCGTTCCCCAATAAGATCCTATACTTGGTGGTGGATGTATGGGATGTGTTCATGGTCCCGGCCAGCCGTGGCCAGGAGTCCACACGATCCCCCAGGACCTTATTGAGGAACCCTCGTCATCCTATACCTAAGCTCTGTTCACTGTGATAATGTAAATGTATAAATTTATAAGGATATATACTTAATACAAGGAAAAAAAATGAAAAAAATATATTATATTTACGCTCTTATAAATATTTGGAAAGTTTTGAAAATTAGCCGTCGCGTCGTTTAGAACAAAAAATAATATGGTTTATAAATATCACAGTGAATTCAAAGGACGAACCTCTTGTGTCAGTTCCCTCGTTTGTTACTCCCGGGTCCCAGGGTCCGGGTGCCGGGTCCCAGAGTCCGGGTCCCATGGTCCGGGTCCCAGGGTCCGGGAGACTCCACCTCTCGTCTCAGTACCGCTCGATCAGTGTTCTGTATGTCGGTACAATGTTGTATAACATTTTAATTTTAATTACGACTGTGCTGTTTTATATCTCATATATTTTATACCGATGTCTCTAAATAAAATGTGAACAGAAATATATGATTGTTTTATTGTTTGGATAAACCGTGTTAGAAATCTGTTAGGAAGTAAATTATAAGAGAATACATGTATGAAGTAATGTTACACTTAGTTTACATTGTTTTATTGCTGTTATATAATATGTTCCTTTGAGTTTTCTCTTAATTTTGAAACAGATGCCTTGAACCGATTGAACCGAATTTTGTTATATATGATGAGTTTTAATTCCAATATCTACATGGTTAGCTATAGGTCGTCAAGCTAGATGCTAAACTATGGATCATTCCCTCATTCCAAACGGGTGTAAAATCCTCGTTACAAAATGCTTCAATTAAACCTTTAGTTCCAAGTTTTTTATTATCGTACATGGTTTCTTTATTTTTATGGTTTCTTTATTTACTGTTGTCGTGATAACAAGCTGACGAGATGAAGATGTCAGGCAATAAATCTATATTTTAAAAACTTTGTTTGATTTGAGACAAGTTATTATGACAGTCGGTTAATAAGAAACTATTGAAACAACAGTATGAGAACAAACATATCAAGTTGGAGAAAAACTACAAAACAACTTAGAAAAAAACATTTTAACATTTAAACTATCGTGGCAAAGAATTATACTTACCACTTGTGGACTGTGGCTTAACTATCAGATCAATATAGTAAATTCTTTTACCAATGTACCTACTATATATTAATTAATGATGATTAATGCCCAAATATTATCCATGTGAGTAGAGGCCTGTACTCAGTAGTGGTCTCAGATAGGATGATGATGTCTTCTTACTTAACTATGAGATGTATCTCGTGAAATATTAGGTTTACTTTGTATAAAATGTACATATTAATAAATCTTGAAATATTATCGTAATTAAGATCCGAATCGATTTATAAAGAAAACTTCTGTTCAAGGCAAAAGGTTATTTCATCACACATTTTTTTCTAATTTAAACTTTTAAATGATTAACCATTTCTTATTAACCAGTCTGTTGAAAAAGTCAAATTAAGTACTTAACTAAAGAATGTGTTTAAATGTAGACGATGGTATTATTATACTTGAAGTTATTAATTTTCAACAAAATAAATAATAATTAATTGATTGCTATATAATTAGCTGCTGTTTAATATTCAGATTGAGAGAGAAATGTCCGTTAGTAATTTTTTGTATTAAGGATATAGACCAGTGCCGATAGCTTTTAAAACATAATTAAATTATAGTAGAATGAAACCCATTAGAAAAGGAGGATAATATTATAAAAATTAAGGGGAAAATAATTTACGGGCGATCTGAGCTCGGGAAGGGTATGGAGGTGAGTATTTAAGGTTAAAAAATGGGTTTTCTCGATTTCCAACAAAACTAAAAGTCCTACGGAAAAATGTTATATGGCAAAGTGGTAGGTAATAAAAAGATCCAAAACTTTTGTAGTAACATTTTTTTCACATAACCTCGAAATTTATGTGAAAAACTCGAAAAACCAAATTTTTGGTTTTTTATTTTTTTTATCTCTTACAAAAAACAATATTTTGTCACTAAATTTGGTGAAAACCTTGCTTGTGATGTTATAAATATACTGTAATTTATTTCATTAGAAATATTTATGTTTTCAGCTTATTTTGAATAAATATCGAAAAATCAGCCTCATTTTCAATCGAAAAATCGCCCATCACAATATCACCGTTTTTCAAAACTTTGTTGTGTTTTTTAAATTTAAATTAGAAAGAGCATTTTCAAAACGATATCAAGTGTCATTTCATTAAAAGGGACATGATTATTTTATCCAAAAACGGTACTGAAAAACGCTGATATTCTGAAGGGTGATTTATCGATTGAAAATGAGGCTGATTTTTCGATATTTATTAAGAATAAGCTGAAAAAATAAATATTTCTAATCAAATAAATTACAGTGTATTTGTAACATCAAAAGGAAAATTTTCACGAAATTTCGTGTCAAACAATTGTTTTTTGGAAGATATAAAAATAAAAAACAACAAACTAGGTTTTTTGAATTTTTCACATAAATTTTGAGGTTATGTGAAAAAAATTGTAGAACAAAAGTTTTAGATCTTTTTATTGCCTACAACTTTGCCATAAAACATATTTCTGTAAGACTTTTAGTTTTGCCGGAAATCGATAAAACCCATTTTTTACCCTTAAATATCCATCCCCATACCCTTCCCGACCTCAGATCGCCCGTAAATTATTTTTCCTTTAATTTTTATAATATTCTTCTCCTTTTCTAATGAGTTTTATTCTACTGTAATATATTTTCACTTTTCATTAATTTTAAAGGCTTCTGCACTGGCCTAATAGGTTTATATCGAGTTAACATTTGTAGTTTCTGAAGTATATTTAAATATCTACAGTTTAAAAAAGCCTCACTTCCTAAACACCTGATGACTAAGAACAGACACTTGTCTTAATCGATAAAATAAATCGATATCTTATTTATTTCTTATGTATCGATAGCAGGGTAACATCGTAATCAAAATAATAAGAGTCACGGGTCACCTAAGGTTCTGCTGATAGAAAAAATAATCATAAATATACCTCATATATACCGGCGCTACCAGCTTTAATAACGGATGCGACTTGAAGATAATTTGAGGCTGTCATCAATTCTTATTAAACCCCATTAGTATTTATGATTATTGTTAAAAGTAAAACGAAATCAAAGGTTGCTTAAAAGGAAAATAGAACTATGTTTAAATCTTGTTATAAATATGACGTCTGGCCGCACGACGGCAGACTTCATAATTGAGAATTGAGAATTCAGAGTTCAGTGAGTGAGTATCATTGAAGTATGTTATTATGAAGAACCTTTGAGAACACAGGAGCATTAAGAACAATTGGAGTTTCATTTTAAAATATCATGGACCGTTCTAGAAGGAGTGACATTTGAAACGTCAGCGAGACTGGCGTCTCTCTCTCTTTAAAAACAACGAATCTGTAATAAATCCGGTATATACATACTAAATAAATTTTTAGCTAGTTCATACTTCGACTCATTTTGAATTTACGCCTTAAGTTAAATTTTATCAATCCTGTCATTCTTAACTTTTCTAAAGAGCTTTCAAACGATAATAGTGAAGCTGTTCTAGCGCCATCTAGTATATAATGTTACAAACTACAACACAGTCATTATAGTTTCAAAACAACCAAGTTGCCAAAGTTACTGCTAGATGGCACGTTGATGAAATTATTATTTAACTTCACTCGATCGAGGATTTGCCTGCGTATAACTAGTGATAATCCAGATTAATTGGTGAATACTACAATATTTAATTATTATATTTATATTTTTTTTCTCAAGGTGACAGTAATTATTTTTAATTACATTATAAGCTCGTAAATCTTCCTCCAAAACTATCATTATAATTAACTTAGTCGACGATCATTACAGTTAGAAAGAGAATCACACGGATCAAAATAAAATGTTTGAGATGCAGCAAGAGGTGGGAAAGAAACTATGGTGTATGAGGATAGCTTTGATAGACTAATGTTAATTGTAACAGTTGAATCTCTCTTGTTAAAAGATAACATATCTAAAAAGAGAGTTATTGTAATATTATCGCGATAAAAAAAGTTTAAATTTCTCTTTAGGTTACCTACCTAGATGGGTTCGGGACGTTGGAAGTTTAAACATATAGTTATATTATGTAATAGTAAAAACGATTTTTAAAAAGATCGTCTCCATTCAAAAATATAAACTGTACTGCGTATAAAAATTTCCTTATCTTTATCAAATGACGCAGTAACTTTTTTATAGTCGATCTAACATAAGCTTCTGTCAAATGATTACCAATTAAATGTCAGAATCCAAAATTATAAGCAACATTGAATATAGCAGCGTATAAGATGTTACACTAAACATTTGGTTCGGAATCTGGTAGAAACGAGTTCAGTTTATGACGAGCCTTGCTTTATGAGTTGAGTGGTCTGCAAGGAAGGCAGTCGGGATGAATCATAAACATTGAGCCTTCAAATATACTGGTACCGACAGATTACCTGCTTACGACTGGATATGAGATTTGTGGATACATTGATTTACGATTACAAGTGCAAAAAATACATTTTATATTATTATAGATGATACAAACATATGTATGAAATGTATATCTGTTAAAACATCCTTTTTTCTGTACAGAGGTTATTATTTTTATAATGTATGTACCTAAGTACCTAAACATTACAACACATGAAACAAATCAAGCTAATATTTAAGATTCACTTTTACACTTCACTTTAGATATTCATAAAGAATCTGTTATTGTAATTTTATATCTCAATTAATCCAGCGGATATGATATAAAAATTATAAGAAATAATCTTTTATTATTGTAAAAAATGTCCTTGTGAAATTAATTTCCTAACTTTTTTTTTTCTAAATTTTTCTTTTAATGTAATCTGGATATAGGCATTTATTATAGTTATTGATAGTCACACACAACTTGTCCCTCACATACCACAGTGATAGATGTACGGATTGTAAAGAAATTGGCTGGTAAATGTGATGACTGAAGTAACTTAGAAGTTATGTGAACCGAACACGGACAACGAATACAGACACAGGAGTTAGTTGAGGATTTAATGATGAATATTTTGATTATAATAACGTTCTAATACACTCACAATAAACTCTCGAACATATAGTTTACAAAAGACAAACGTTTATTATAGACATTCGTTGCTTGTGTTTGACACCGGCGTCCCGACATCACACGAAACAACACACGTAGTCCGAATACTTACTTTAAATGAAAAAAAAAACAAGGAATCTCACTTAAACCCGCCAATTCCACGGAGTTGAGCTAAAAATAAGATTTTAAATTTGGAGTCTAGAAAAAACATGGTAATGATTTCTGTTGATGTAACTTTAAGTTCAAAGAACAACAAATATATCAATAGTGTGTTACCATATTTCAATATATCGTCGGGGATAGTGCAAATCCGCGTAACTACGCTGAAATATTTACTATATTAACGACTTTTAATGTATTTTTTTCACAATTATTAATAAATGAAACATTACGCGGATGCACTATCCCCGACGATGTGTATTTATTTTAAATAGTCGCGCGTCTAGAGGCGACTGTGTGCGCACGAGGCGGCAACCTCGCGACTACACCGCGTCGGACGGTTAGTTGACGCGCGAGTCCCGCTCACTACACGCGACATGAGCACACGGAAAATATGTCTGAGCGAACGGAACCTACTGGCGCTGATATTCGAAGTGAAGAGGAGACCGTGTCTGTGGAACCACGAGGAACTAGGATATAATGAAAGGTGGCGGCTCACTACCGCCTGGACGGAGATCGCCACTAAATTAAAATTACCAGGTACTGAAATTGCGACCAGTTTAGATGAGACCTCTGTACACTCACTAACACATTTATATCTAGTTATAACTTATACTGGACAGACAACGAAATTTATAAGGCGTTAACAAAAACATTAACGACTTAAGGTCACTGCTTACTGAGATAAGATTATAATATTATTTAATAATTTACATGTACTGCTGATAAATAACATAGTAATAGAACATTAATGTTATAACCAATGTTATTACAGAGGACGTACTGAGAAACAAGTGGAAGAACCTCCGGGATCTGTTCAAACGTGAAGCGAAGAAATGTAACGGGAACACGGTCGACGAGTACACCGGCAAGTGGAGGTACTTCAAGACGCTGTGGTTCCTTAACCAACCGGGAGAGGGCGCGGCCAGTGACGATGACGACGAGGGAATTGAGAGGAGGATCAAGGAAGAAGTACAGAGTGTAGGCCCGGATACTACAGACGAGGCTTACCTAGACCACAGGCAGGATAAGAGATTATACGCGGAGATAGAACTAGCACAGGACCCGCTAGAAACGAAGCGACCGCGACTAGATGACTACGATTCTATGTTCCTCATGTCACTAACACCTTACTTCAAACAACTGGAGCCGATGAGGAAGCTGTCACTCAGGAACAAGATACAGGAGCTCATCTTTAATGAGTTAACAGAACAATCCGAATACAACGTACTACCATACTAAGATTTAGAGTTCAGTTTGCTATATTTGATGACGTCACACCGGTCGATGATTACCGAATCCTTAACGTACGGTTAATTATTTTAATTTTTAATCGGTCGTTATTACTAATGTTTAACATTCCTCATATTAATGATCGGATGTTTGTATGTGTGACCGACTTACAACACTATATGTTGTCTTGCAACATAGTAATGCTATATTAATATAAGTAAAGTTATATGTTAAGCTACATTTTTGTAGGTAATTAAATGTCGAGCGCAGTCGGTTAAGGACGCTAAGAAGGCGTGTTATGTTTTTACTGTTATGAATAGTTGCTCAGGATCTGTTAGACTGATGAACTTAGTTAAGAATAAATGTATGTAAAGATTTTTGAATATGAACATGTAGTTTTAATTTTATCTCGTCCCAAATAGTTCTGTTGTAATATTTTTTCTTCATTTATTACATTGTTTTAACTATTTCAATGATATTACGACATTCTTTACATATCAAAGATTTTTGTATTAAACACTTTCAATAGTAAAAATACTTTAAATATTTGTATTGTGTGAAACAATAAAACTGAGTGTATGTAAGGAATTGTCTTTACCTTGATGAGGAATTTAAAATGTTACAATTATATATTAAATAATGTTATAGTAACTAGGTAAATTGTGTCACTGAGTACAAATATTTTTACTTTTATTCACATACTAGTTTTTGTTCGCAACTTCGTCTACATTGTCGTAGTATTTATTCAAAGAAAAATGAGTAATGCTTACTAAATATAACAGATAATGAAGAAAACACTCATAGCATATTATATTTCTTTATAAACTGTTACTTAGCCACATAATTGAGAATTATATTCTTCAAGTTATACTATTTCATAGTTTCATTATATTCGTTTCAATATATTAATAAATAAACACAAGCCTATTGACTTTCGTATTTATAACTTAGGATGAGATTCCCTGGAACACTACTGTGACGTCATAATAACAGTTAGCTAACTTCAAATTATAAAATTGATGAAGTCATACTTCCTATACCAATTCGAAGACTTATTCATACAATCATTAAACAAATATCCATTGTTGATTACTAAATTACATACTATATCATATACATATATTACGTCTATCTAAAGGTTTTTATATGTTTTCTCATATACATATATGTATATCTTTATTATTTGATCGGGTCACACTTCATATAATAAGTCAAGTGTCGATCTACCCACTAAAATGTAAATAGTTAAACTGAACGCTATCCAGTTACAATCAGATGAGGTTTTGTTTTTATACATCGGTTTAAATTTAATCCATACTTAAAATCTTTGGCTCTCATGTTAAGTAATTTCCAACACTGTATATACCTAAATGCTTTATATTTTATCTATATATGTTTTATTATAAAAGTTATTATAGTTGAAAACATATATAACTAGCTTTCCGCCCGCAGCTTCGCCGCGTGGAGTTCGGTTATATCGCGTTTCCAAGAGAACCTTTCAAAAGTCTGGGATAAAAACTATCCTATGTTCTTTCTCAAGGTCAACTCTATCTCTGTACCGAATTTCATTAAAATCAGTTCAGTGGTTTAGGCGTGAAAGCGTAGCAGACAGACAGACAGACAGACAGACAGAGTTACTTTCGCATTTATAATATTAGTAGGGATTATAGTTGAAAATAAAATAAAAATGTAGTATGTAAGTATAAAATTTATTCTAGCAATAACAATAAGTATTTCTGAACATGTACTTACCTATACAGAAATCAAATATGTATAATAATATTATTATTACCACTGCTTAACAAAGACTTTTAGAAAATAAATGAAAATTATCTAGTGGTGAAAGTTTTTTTGTCTTAAAACTAAATGGTAACGATTGTATAACTTGACATTTATCTGTCTTCTTTTCAAAATATATCGTCGTTTATAAATCTAATTGTATTAGTATTATTGAATTTATATAAATAATTATAAGAACATATTAAGTAGGTATGAAAATTATAGTATAGGTACAAGGACTTATTGGGTATAAGCATTACAAGCTAATATGGCCACCGTAATACATTATACAAATATATTTATACAGTCTTAACAGCACTTGTTTAAAACATAATTGGACTTGTGTTATAAATAAAACATATAGAAATAACTGAACGAAAAATATTTCGTAATGGTTAAAGTTATATTTGAAATAAAAATATGCAAAAAATATAATCAATACGGCTTATAGGCCGACAGGAAACATGTGCCGACGGCGCTGCGGAGTGTACATTATCCTTTACAAATTTACACATTAATAATATTTGACAAACATTTTCAAAGCAAATTAATGGGTTTCTATTGAATATAATATAATAATGAATAGCTACATTACATGTTCATTATTATTACGCTTCTGTATAGTAAAGCGTGGATTTTGTCCGTTACAAACTTGATTTATATCTACACAAGGCACAACACAGTCTTTTCGTAGAACACTAATTCGCTAGTTCAGTATCCATGAATCCAATCTGAAGTCTGTGGGGATCCACGTCACGAGTCACGTCCAAATCACTTTTTATAGGAGGTTCGGCGCCGCGGCCGGGAGCCGGCAGCGTCACACCACCCAAACAAAACAGGACGGCGGAGCGGCAACCTCGCAGCTCGCAGCACGGACCGCTTCAGACGGAGCGGCAACGTCGCACCGCCGACCGGTAGCCGGCTAGCGACTAGTGACGGGCGTCTAGCGAGCAGCGAGTACCGGTGAAATGTGAATCGATCCCTCCCGCGGCCGACATAGTGAAGCACTAAAAGCTTCATTACCGTAAATTAAACAGTTTTTTCTTATTGTTATTGTTTGATATTGTACACTGTACGGTTAAATTGGATACGGATGCTATTTACGTATATCGATGTTTACGACGGAGTGACGAGAAACATTTTTTTTTACTCAGCTGACATTTTTGTTTATATCTTATGTGCGTATATTACTTAATACATTTCTATTTAAATATATTTATATTAATCTTTGTGAAATGCGTTGATGGACATTTACGTGATGATAAAATTTTAACAATATAGCGCATAAAGTTGAGTTAATAACGTAATGTTTTACGAACTTTTATAGAAACGTTTTATGAATATTATAATTCAAAATGATTATTGTTTAATATATCTACAAGTCTGTTAAATATATGTAAAAGTATCGTGAGCAAATGTTAATAGTATTTCGTTGATTCCACTGCATTCTTTATTTTTTTTTCTTTATATTCTCGACTGTGAACACGAACACAGCTACATTGTATGTCTGTGCAACATTAATTACTATGCACTAGATTTCCTTTCAGAGGAATTTTTCTGTTTAAATTACATACTGAATACATCGAATCGTACGTTTTAAAAATAAGCTAGGTATACATACAATATATAAATATAAGGCAGCTGTAATTAGTAATTTTGTTTTAATCGATTGGCTATAAAAACCGTAAATTACATAGTAAGTAATGTTTTAAATTATATGACATGACGTAACAGTTAAGATGGCGGCGAATACAATATGAACAAAAACTCATTCTTAGCACAGTTCGCCGCTAAATAAGTACTTTATAATAGTACAGAACCGTAACTAAATTCGTTCTAATAGATTCACTATTGTTATTTTGGTGGGGTGTACACTGTATAAGGTCCGGGGTCCCGTATTTCTTTGACATCCATTGTGAATGAACGTCAAGCTCGGTCATTGTGTCCAAATATACGTCAAAGGGTGTCCCGATGTAATTACTCATATAATATATTGTTCAAGAAGACTTCTTCGGGACAAGTGTCGAGAGTCGACCTTTATAGTGTATTGGGAAACGTTAAATTATATCGCTTTATTGTAAACGGAAACTGGAAATAGGCGTCTGAATAATTAGACATATGTATTGTGTTGGTTAATGTAACTTATATTATACTAGCTTTCCACCCGCAGCTTCGCCCGCTTGGAGTTCAGTTATATCGCGTTTCCAAGAGAACCTTTCAAAAGTATGGGATAAAAACTATTCTATGTTATTTCTCAAGGTCAACTGTATCTCTGTACCAAATGTCATTAAAATCAGTTCAGTGGTTTAGGCGTGAAAGCGTAATAGACAGACAGACAGAGTTACTTTCGCTTTTATAATATTAGTAGGGATAATAGTCAAATTTTGTTTCAGCAACAAGTTAGTTTTCGTTGAATATATTTGAAAAATAAACAATATAATACATATGATATGAATGTTTCAATCATAATGTACCTAATCGTAGGGAGCGCACATCGCAAACATTTATCATGTACTGACTCATTTAAGATAAGAGTGTGGCCACGAGGCGGGCGGTGTGTGGGACCGTGGCCAGGAGACGAGCGGGTTATTGAAGGAAGGAGAAATGACGTCACTACTGTGTTGATCAGATGAATGACATGACACACACACACACACACACACACACACACACACACACACACACACACACACACATACGACACTCATCAACACACCTCCTAGTGACACTGACTGAGACTATCTATAAGTCTAATAGGGAGAGACGAGACCAGTCTAGACCGAGGTAGAGAGTGAGCGATCAATGAATGAGATCTAAGTTAGTACCTAAGACTTGCATTTGAAATCTGGAGACTCCAACAGAGAGCATACTGATTGTATTAAGAATATAACATTATTGATAAACATAAATCTGAAGTTATAATCTATTCTCAAAGGGGTGATGATATTAATACTTAGGGGAGCGGGGGGCCAGTTGTTACAGGGGTAAGAAGTTACACGCATTTTTTATCGGGATTTTCAACTCTTTAGTAGACGTAAGTGGACTCATTTATTTTCTTATAACATCGTGCGTTGCAAAAAAACAATCAGTGACCCGTCAAACGGCAAACTGTTAGGTTATGTGCACGTGTCTCGATTTCCATCAAGTTCGTAACAAAATCTTTTACGAAATTTTTGATTCCTGCTGTCTATATTTGTTATTCTCTAAATTCTTTTCGCCTCGAACGTTCATAATGTATCGAGTTTTAATTTGTAATAGCGTTTTATTCTGCTATTGATATCCATTAATGGCGGCTTTAATTTTAATTAAAAAACACACCATGGGGCAGGTTGTTACAGTTTTTCGGGGTAGGTTGTTACATGTAACAACTTGCCTTAGATCTTGTATTACCGTTCATCTCATTGACTATCATTTAGAAATAACTTCGCTGTACTTAAAAATTAGAATAAATGGAAAGTGTTAAAATGAAATCATACAAATGAAATCATACGTGCAATCGAAACAGCAACCAATCTATTACCTGACACTGTTAACAATATTACTGTTTCACCTTCTCCAAATCCAGCTTGTTCGCAAGATACAGAATGTTTAACAACATTGCCAAGTGCAGATTCGTCAAGTTTTAAAAATAAAATTGAATTAGAGATACCAGGTCCATCTGGTATACAAAGTACATTTGAAAATTTTTCGCCTTCAAAGATAAGGTCCTTTCCCAAGGCAGAGGCTCGAAAACAATCCATCCATAACCGTCGTAAACGTAAGTCCGCTGTATTAACCGATAAACCAAAATAACTAAAATAAACGATACATAAGATTTAAGAAAGTTCCTGCCAAAGTTATGTGATTATTACTGTTAAAAAGTTGGAAAATTACGATATAGATATTATAACTGCTCATAAATGTTATAAGACTGATCAAAATAGATTTTTTTATTCATAACGTTTTGAAATAATAAAAAATAAATGATTTATTATTGTTCATTTTGTTTATTTACCTACTGTAACATCGTGCCCCGAAGGTGTAACAACTAGCCCCAAGTCAGGGGTAAGTTGTTGCAATCGACTTATTTCATTAATTCTCTATTTTGGGAAAAAATACGTAAATTTTAATATTTTTCCAATTCTATTCTACTAGCTGAATAGACACACTAATGGTAAAAGCAATCAAATGTATACATTATTTGATAGCTTTTGTGATATTAATAATTATCTAAAAATTGTAACAACGTGCCCCCCGCTCCCCTACATGTGTTTATTGTTTATAATCATATATGAGAGGATTGAGAGGTGAGAGGTGTCGTTTCTGCTTCTGTGTCACATCATATCCTTATTATTGTCTATATATGTACATTACAGTACCTATAACATACACTATCACTTTCATGATCCAATCTACTAGCTAGGTGTCTATCGTCTACCGCCTATACTAACAATTAACAGTCCTCTGTCCAGTCAATATACAAAGATCGAAGTGACCTTCAAACTGACTTCTATATTTTTGAGTATCTATACAATATAATCTTGTTCTTGTGTCTGTGTCCGCGTGTGTTTCTTCCTGTCCCCGATACTCGTATATCTCAAGTTCCTCCAACCTGTTGACGCGACTTGTTACGGAACAAAATAAACACTTGTTGGAGACAAATCAACAGATATAATATACTATTATAACATTAAATATATATACATACGTTTTAGAAATACCTAGGTATAGATAAGTACCTACTTGATAGGTACGAATATTCATTTGATATTTTTATATTTATTTATTAAAAACTAGTTTGTACCTTTGTGTTTAAACTCTCATTGTAGCATCAGTCATTTTAAGTTTTAATATCAGAATTCTGTTAAATAAATTAAAACTTCATAAAATATGTGTAACACCTAGTATAAATAATATTATATCTAGTCATTAAATATTTTTTTTCTAAAAACATTTTAGATGTAACTAGTATAGGTGGTAAACAGTCAAGCACTAGCCAGTCGAAATAAAAAAAAAGAAAAACCGGTTTCCTACATCCCAAATATATTTTTATTACTTTATTTTTGTAACATATCTAGCCAATTATTTACCGTTACGCATATAAAATGGAAAATAACATATTAAATTAAGTATGTATAACTATGTATATAATCCTATAAAATTAAATGTAAGCAGAATAAAATAAAAATAAATAATGAACCATATCATAGAAATAATTATAAAATGAGCTTCTCCTCTCACACCGTACAAAGCCCGCGAAAGAAACTTGATATGGTAATAAATAATATAATATAATGTGTCTCTTTCTAACTCATGTGAATTTCGTATAGTGCCATCCTTGTCTGGAGCTCGCCCGTTAAGTTATCGCTCTTCAAATACTTTTGGAAGTTCCATGAAGCCTCGTATTGTATGTTACTAAAACATTCTAATGTTTTTGAAAATTCAAATTTGGAACTATTTCTTTTTTCGTCGCCGAATTTATTTTTTTATCTCCAGTCTATACTCTTTATAACAACATGACTTTTACAGTTTTCATATAAATATTTATATAATTTTTTGTTGTCATATTAGCAAGTGTGGTCATTGGTTAGTTTTTCTACTGTAATATTAAACAGTAGTAGATACAAAAAAGGTAAATATTTTTTAAACCACTTGTGAATCGTCTTTTACGTTAAGTTGGAAGTATTTTAATATTTTTTCTAGAAATAACGTTTCATTACAATGAAAACTTTATGTGGTGAGTGAAAATTTATTATTGGTTAAGTTTTATTTTGTATTCATGTTCATGTAATTCCAGTCTCCTGGATGACTTGAAGTATGTTGTTCTTTGCAAAACCAAATAACTGTCTTCGATGAAGTTTTACAGTAATGCAGCTTAGTCAACAGTATAAGACACTGGCTATTTCATCCTGGAATTCCCCGGAGTTCCCGCAGGATTAAGGAACGTTTAACAATATTATATTTGCATGGTATCAAAAGACATATTTTTAGATACCGCTGCTTAGTTTGCTTACAAATCTACTGTTTAACACCTAACATTTCTTTCTGGTTATAACACCGAAGTCTCGTTCGAAAACTAGTTATTTTTTAAATATTAATTATTAACAGAAGTGCTCGAAACATTCAATAGAAGACAGTATTAGGTTTCAGAACGTTGTTTGAGATTGTGTCTTATAGAGTTGTATGTTCAGTTAAAAGTACGAACAGTCTTACAATAAAGGTAGTTATTAGTGTTGGACGAAATGTTTGTATTGGAAAAGAACTGTTAGTGGTGTTGTTTATTAGAGTTCAGGAGTTCATCACACAAGGAGAGGGAGGCTGGACAGACGTACATACTAGAGATGTTGATAATATTGACTATTGTAGCTACATAGCTTTATATAGGTATATAAAGTGAAGATTCGTTTTGTCTTAGGTAAACTTTTTTAAGATAGAATCTCTTGAACCTAATAATTTAATATAACTTTAGATATTTATAAATCTCATTTGTAAGAAGTAGGTAGGTACATGAGGTGTGTCTAGAGTCTAGACTCTAGATAGAGACTTATTAGATAACTGATATCATAAATTTTCAATGTTTTTTAACGACGAGTACGGGACAGTCCCAACACAATCCTGCATGCATTGTTAGATCGCTGGGATTCACCAATTTTAGCACACTGGATACGACTCCACGTAGTCAAGTAAAGTACCTATATGTGTAGTTTAAAATTAGTTAAAAAAAGTATCATAAATAAAATTGCTTTTGCTTTGCTTTTGTAAATTTACTAACCAATTCATTTATTACCTAAGTATAATTTGTAACGTACTAACACTATAGGTATGGATCTATGATTATGGTCTGAAATAAATGATTATTATTATTATATTATTAAATATAAGCTGTTAATATTAATTGTAAATATAATTAAAAACAAATGTGAACAAAGTTATTTCGCAATGATATTGTTTTAGTTTCGGTCGTAGCTTGAAAAGTTGTACCAGACGCTTAGACGAAACCTAATGCCTCCGAGTTTAGAAAGACCGTTGGCTCTTTCGAAGAATGGCGGAATCCTTACAATGCAGGTTGTATACGAAACTTGTTTGACCAGAATCGAGAAAAAAAAAGTGGCGGGCAAGTTCGCCTACAATAGCATTCCGCGCTCATCGGCCCGCCCGCGGCCCGCCCCCGTCTGCCCCCCGGCCCCGCACACCCGCGCACCCCTCACAGACACAACACACACACGCGCACACACACACACACACACTAACCTCTCGACCCCCTTCTCCCCGCTGCCCGCGCCGCTCCTCTCCCCCGCGGCCCCTACCGCCGGCCTCTCAGTAGTACACGGAACGTGATCGCGTGCGTTCAGTCAAACGTCGTTATAATGTGATCAGTTCTAATAATTCCTAACAAACTTACAAAACAAACGATCTGTCCACATGTATATAAATGTTTTTGACTCTAGTGTTAGTTACTTGTACTCATATAGTTCAGTAGCAGCGGTTCATGTCATACGATGCATCACTATGTCTCATACATTCTAATAGTGTTATAATTTGAATATATCTCTGTGAAGTGTTTGTGTTTGTTGCGTATGGTCCAGCGGGTATTGATTTTCGTCACACCAACGAACAGCTGCTCGAAGGATGCGAATGGAATATACTAGAAACGAAATGACCCACTGAGAGACGGCCTGTAGTTAGTACATACAAACGGTCGAGTCTACAGACTGTAGGAAGTATGTCCTAAACATACACAATAATAATGTCATAATATCTTTACCAGTTCGTGTTAATATTAGAGGTGTATAGTGTAGTGTAATGTGTCGTGAGATCAAAGAGTATACAGAATAATACGATCTAGTGAGAAACTGGTGTCGCAAGGAAACAAGTGTCAGACATTGTTGCTATTTGTAGTGTTGCTATTTTGGATTCTTTCAGTGGATGTGGATTTAAAACTGTTTATAAGGTAAGGCATTGTATTATATGAGACTAATGTATAGGTTTATATGTATTTTCTGTGTATATAGCATATATTTTGTCAAACTTCGTATTCCCTATAGATGCTAGGCCTAATGTGCGCGCCGAGGGCAGGCCGTGTGCATTGGAACCATTCCCATTACTGACGGACATATTAAAGTTACAGAAACAGATTTAAAACGTTTACTATACATTACATGAAGATGACATTTATACGAGTATTGAATGTTGGTTACAATGAGTTACTATGTACGGAACACTTCGAATGTATTAAGCTGTTCTTGTATGCACTTACAATTACTATTTATACTTGAAATACTTATTATTACAAAAAATATTAATAAACAAGTTATATTAAGCTTTTTTATACATAATGTTAACTTAGTGAATGTCGTTGCACATTAATTTTTAAACATACCCGTAATTCAACGTATTGAAATGAAATATATTAAAATGTGAATTAATTATTAATTATTATTATTACGAACTGCATCATTTATTATCTGTAGAACACTTTCAAGTTTCAACTGTATACAGCCTCGGTTGCATCATTTCTTTGTTTCGTAATTTTAAACGTGCACCGTCAAAACTCGATGTATTTACATACAGAAAACTTTTAATTTAATTTAATATAATATAGGTACATATATTATGTAGTATTTATTCTGCCAATATTAATATTCGTATCATATTTCCCTTTCCATGTTTCTATAGTGTTCTCGGGGGCTCCTAAACCCGTCCTCATACATAGTAATTATAGTAGCAGTTAAATTCAAATGTTTAGTATGTGGCTATATGTCCAGGTCGTTGACCCCGTGTGTCTGTTGTATGGGACCAGTCACCAGTCGTTCATGAATAAGCTTCTAGTGTCTTATCGTTTAACTTTATCAGTGTTATTTATTGTATAATATTATTTATTTGTTTCTTTATACTTGTACTTTGTGCTACATAATATTATAAGAGTTTTTCTCATAGAATAGATCTCTAAGTATAATGTATGAAGTTTGAGTGACTTCTGAACATTCATACGGCTCATGTATGTGTGATGGTTTTGTATGTGAATCCATTAATAAATGTATTTAATGGTTTTTACAGTCTCGTTAATGAATCTTTATTATTATGGATATATGTGTTATGTTAATCAAACATAATATTTCGGTTGAAACCATTACGTTAAATGTTTGTCTTAAACGTATAGGTATGTTATAATAAGATCTAAGACTTTCGCGAATTTTATTCATTTAAATCAAACTAATATTTTTCGGATATACTACGCGTGCTTTATTTCAGTAAAATGCTACATACTCCCGACGTTTCGGTTACTTTTCATCAACCGTGATCACGGACAGACGAGATGTGAATGTCTGTCTATATTTTATCTTACTTTACTTAATATTGGTATATATGTAATGTGTCCGTCAGCCTGTTGATGGAGTCGCTCCAGGTGTATTCTGTGAACAGCCTTTTCAAATCCCTCATCCCTACTAATATTATAAATGCGAAAGTAACTCTGTCTGTCTGTCTGTCTGTCTGTCTGCTACGCTTTCACGCCTAAACCACTGAACTGATTTTAATGAAATTCGGTACAGAGATAGAGTTGACCTTGAGAAAGAACATAGGATAGTTTTTATCCCAGACTTTTGAAAGGTTCTCTTGGAAACGCGATATAACCGAACTCCACGCGGCGAAGCTGCGGGCGGAAAGCTAGTTCATCTATATATCTTTGAAGGCGGTCTATCCCTTGTCCTCTCGTTGACTGTCCGTTAATTTGAATCTGTATGTACTATCATTAAATGTATCCTATAATAATGTCAGATATACCTACATAAAGATTGTTGTATCATACTGAGCGGACTAAAAGATGTACCTAGAGATGAATTAATATGGTAGTTTCACTACTAAATATTAGGTATAGTTATAAAAAAGTAACAGATTTATATGTATTATTGTATATGTAGCTATGTATATTGTACGTATATTTACTAACAACGACTATCATTTGTATAGTGTTCCAGTCAATAACCTTATACTATTATAGCTAATTATACGATACAATCGTATCGTTTATAGATGTTTCTACAAAAAATGTAAAGATTTTTTATTTAACACTTAACACAAAATCATACAAAGAATTCTTTCTTTTCTATTATAAATGCGAAAGTATCTCTGTCTGTCTGTCTGTTACTCTTTCACGCCTAAACCACTGAACTGATTTTAATGATATTTGGTACAGAGATAGAGTTGAGTTTGAGAAAGAACATAGGATAGTTTTTATCCCAGACTTTTGAAAGGTTCTCTTGGAAACGCGATATAACCGAACTCCACGCGGGCGAAGCTGCGGGCTGAAAGCTATTTCGTTATATGTATGAAAATTTTCGTGTCGTGACATTTCGCATTTTGTCTTGTCAAATACAAATGACTGACTATTATACAAATCATATATTTTTAACATATAGTATAAATCATTTTTACCAACATAAAAAGGTATCCTAGTACCAATATTCTATCTCTATTGTTCTATCTATATATTAACCCTCTGTCTGTCTGTCCGTGTGTTCCAAGTCGTTAAAGTATTGTAATGTGTTAATTGTAGTTAGTTACCGTCGCGGGGTAATAGTGCATGACAGATCTACATCGCATACACTTTATATGAATCTCTGAACCATAGATAGTGTTGTGAATGGTTTAATATGAAGTAAACAAGGTTTGAAGTTTGACTGAGAGTTAATAATGAGATTGTATGATTGTACAAGCTATATGTGGTTGAGAGGTCATCTTATACTAAGGAGTGAGTTAGTTAGTGTAGAATATTTTCCTCTACCTGTGTGTTGACCGTCTCAGATCAAACGCTACTTTATCCGATGTTTGTCATACTTATTATAACTAAAAGATACTCTTGGAACATTGAAGACTCTTACCTGACCTCGCGGCGAGGATACGAAGGTGTTATAATAAATCCTCTCAATATAATAGAAATATATTTACTTAGTATATATAATATGTATTTTGATATAAAAATATACAGCATTCAGTATTAATTTGTATTTTTGTAATTTTAAATAAAATTTTAAATTTCCTATATTTAATATACCTATTGAGATCTAATACTTTCGCGAGTATTCATTTAAATGAAACTAATATTGTTCGGATTACTACGCGTATTTTATTATTATAAACTAAATATTCCCGACGTTTTGGTTACTTTGCAGCAACCGTGATCACGGGCAGACGAGATGTATAAAAGTGAACGAAACGTCGGAAGCATGTAATTTTTAAATATAATAAAATACCCGTAGTAATCCGAATAATATTCCTACAATATATTTCGTCCACATTTGCCTATAGGTACATTCAGTGTTTCCTCATGTCAATACATACAGGTGATTAAAGAGTATTATTATTTGTAAATAGCTCTGGGTACTTCTGTTATATGATCAATATTTGCATGTACATCTTGTAAGTAATAAAATGTATTACTTAATATGTTTTTATACATCCTAAAGGTCATAAAGGAAAAGTAATATGTATACATATAGGTATCTAACTATCTATGATTTTGTAACTACTTCGTTAAAACATGTTAAAAGGGAGATCAGACACGAAATTAAGAAATATTTGACGATAGACGATTATTGAGATGACTTAGACAGAACGACCTCGACTTGACTCCTTAAATAATGTTTGTGAGAGAGCTCAATATAAAAACATATGTAGTTTGATTGAAAAGCAACACAGAAATACACTACTTAATTTGATCTTATTTTAAAATAAAAAGTGTCTATTATATAAAGGTTTATGTTTATTATAACATATATGAGTCATAGGCATTTAACAGTTATCTGTGTAGGTATGTATGTTGTAGTTTTTAAGATCTTAGACCATCTAAATAGTTTAAAACACTCACTTTACAATATACCTACCTAATGTTTGGTGAAATTCTGACAAAACTTTGTATTAAAGATAGTTATTATAGACCAGTGCCGATAGCTTTTAAAACATAATTAATAAAAAAATTAGCAGCTTAATGACAATTTTCTATTAATTACCGAAAAGAGGGACTATCTGGAGAACTTCCAGAGTAGGTACACAACTATTAAAAATAAATTAGAAAGAGCATTTTCAAAACGATGTCGAGTGTCATTTCATTAAAAGAGACATGATTATTTTATCTAAAAATGGTACTGTAAGTAAGAAACTTATTTTTTTTCTTCACTATCGGAAAATAGAGATTTGAACGAACAGAAATCATACCAAATTTTTGAAAAACGCCGATATTTTGACGGGTGATTTTTCGTTTGAAAATGAGGATGATTTTTCGATATTTATTCAAAATAAGCTGCAAAAATAAATATTTCTAATCGAATAAATTACAGTGC